AGGTTGAATCCAGTGGGAGATTTTTTTTAAACCAAAATAACTATTTTCCAATAATCTCTTATACGCTCAAATTCTCTATGAACCTCAGGGGGAAAAAGAAGTAGAACAGAAAAAAGTTAGACTAGTTTTATAATTTTAAGTAATTTCTTTGTTTAAAAATTGAAATCATACAAATGATAAAATATGAGTGTACGTAATGAATAATGATTACAGGAAGGTCATATGACATATTAGGTCAGCAACACTCTGAATGTGGTCAGTATGTATTAAGTAAATATAATAAAATCTCTGTATGTGTAACTTGCAGTAACTCAGATGGACATCTTATACTTGTCACCATGCAGGGCACTGGAGGGGCAGATAATATAATTTCGTGTAGCATATACAGGCTGTGCCATTATCAACACTGAAATAAAACTCAATCCTTCAGGTGATGTCAAGAAACACAGATAGCTGATCTAGTGCTCATAGCATAGCAAAATGACTAATGGATTCCAGTTTTCATCTACATCTTAGATATTAAAAGGTCAGTAAATATCAGCCTAAAGATATTGTAAAAACATTGAAACATTTAGTTATAACATTAATTTATTTAAATGTTAAAATTCCACAAAATGAGAACAGTAAAAAGTATTTTCAAAATACCTTGAAGTATAAGAAAATGCCAATATGACTCAATCTATCAAAACAGAGGAAGAATACATTCTTTATTTCATTGTGAAGTCTAACTTCTCCCCCACATAAAGGTAAGTGAGCATACCAAATGAAGAAACTCATTGTGTCTAATTTTTTAAGCAGGAGCTATTAGATATTTTATTTACAGTTATCTGAGTGGAAAATGAGTTTAAAAAGGAGGAGGAAGTCTATTTATCAATATCCTCAGCTCATCTCACTATTTATTATTTAGAGGTTTCTACCACATAAAAAGGTTAATATCACTGATATCATATCTGTAAACTGAAGAAATGTGGTCATTTAATATATTCTTCTTCAGCTAAGGAAAAAGTTTGAGAAGAAAGAACAAAATAGAAATTATGAATGTCTATATCAATTCATAAGAGGTCTTTGTTAATATCATTGGGAGTTGGGAAGGTTGCTTTGTTTAAATCGATGAAAAGGTGGCCAATATTTTAGAATAAATAGAGAACTAGATTGGATAGGACATTATCATTCAAAGACAATTAAACATAATAGAAACAAAATTAATCTTATTTTTCAAAAAATTTTAACTTTCATTGCAATTATTCATTAATTCTTTTTAAAAATTTATCTTTATTGTTTATTTTGTGTTTCTTTTCTCCATTAACCCCCCTCCTCCCTACACCTGCCCTCCCAAGCCTTTGCCACACTATTGTCTCTGTCCATGGGCTATGGACATATGGATATAAGTTCCCCAGTCAATCTCTTCCCTCCACCCCCCATTCACAAATCAATAAATGTGATACATCACATAAACAAATTGGAAGACAAAAATCATATGATCATATCAATAGACAGAGAAAAGGTATTCAACAAAATCCAACACTTTTTGATAAAAACTCTCAGCAAAGTGGGAATAGAGGGAGCATATCTCAACATAATAAAGGACATATATGACAAACCAACAGCCAACATCATACTCAATGGGCAAAAACTAAAGAACAGGAACAATTTAGGGATGTCCGCTCTCACCACTATTATTTAATATAGTACTCAAAGTACTAGCCTCAATGATCAGACAAGAAGAAAATATATAAAGTATCCAAACTGCCAAGGAGGAAGTAAAACTGTCATTCACAGATGACATGATATTGTACACATGCATTAACTCTTTGAATGAACAGCTTGATTGTGTATTAATAATCCAGTGTTAGCTAATGCTTTTTGTGATAACATTGTTTGATGAACAATATTACTCTTTCAATGTTAAGATAAGTCTAATTTCTGCAAAAATATTATAGACAATTTTCCAAAGGTTCATTCATGATTCTTATCTACTCAAATAATTTTACTTTAGGATTTTCATAACTTTTACTTTTACCCATTTCAAATGATATTGTCAGATGTTTGCAACATCCCGTAGTCAGAGAAACTGACCCATAAATATTTAACATAAATATGTAGCAAGAGTCATACATACATAGCAGGGTGTTTGAAAGGGGACTATTTTCTAAGTGAGCACCTCCCTTAGTAGACGGTCTAGTGTTTGGTACACTTTTACTTCCCTGTGCATAGTTACTGATGTTGGGATGATGATATTCAGATAACTCGGGCTCCTTCCTCCATTATTACATGTAACATTAACTGTGTTCTCAGCTCTTGATGGATACATAGCTGCATGCTATATATTAAAGTAACAGACCTGATGCAGGAATTTTTCACCTGGGATCCATGGAGATATGTAGGGGGTCCTTGAAATCTCTCTTTTTTAAAATATGTTTTTTATTGATTTCAGAGAGAGGGAAAGAGAGATAGAAACATCAGTGATGATAGAGAATCATTGATTGGCTGCCTCCTGCATGCCCTCTCCCCCCAAACTCTCCCAGGGCTCAAGCCCGCAAACCAGGCATGTAACCTGACCTGTAATCAAGCTGTGACCTCCTGGTTTATAGGTAGACACTTAACCACTGAGCAACAATGGCCAGGCTAAAACTACTTTGTGCATGCATATTTTTGACTGTATATACAATTCTGTATTTTTCTGGAGAGAAGGTCTATAACTTGTGACACAGAACCACTCTTACTCAATCTTTAAAAAATCATTAGCCATTTTATAATCTCCTAATAGCTATTATAATCTGCAAGTAGCAACAAATATTGATTCTCTTTCCAGATCTCTTTTGTCCAGACTCTACCATCTGGTGTCAAGTTATTACAATTAGCTAAGATATAAGAAATGGATTTCAGGGCTAGGTAGTATAGTATTTGGAGTGGAAACATGATAATGCATTATCCATGCAAGTCTTTTCAGACTATGAAGAAAAGATAATAATGGATAATATGAGAACAGAAATTAGCCTCGATCTATGCATGATATGTTTTCCATTGACCCAAAAACATTTTGCTTCTCTATAATTTTCAATGTTAAATTATCACTGTAGGTAGAAAAGTCTAATTTTGTCATAAAGTTAAAAGTATATAATCTTCTCCTAAATATTCTTGAGGAAGTATATCTTATCTTATTGCTTTCTTTCACATGGCATATTATAGGTGAATTTATCTATCTGGTTTTAATGCCTGTTTCTATAAATTAAGAAATATTTTTTCCATGTCAATGAAAATTAATTATCCAATCTCCAATCTAATGTTATAAACTAAGCCTGAGATAATTATTATACCATAAGGATGTAATGCTTTCCCTCTTTCATCATCATTAGTCTCAAATTTTGTGATGATGTATATTTTCCATATGAGTAATACTTAAAGTACTCTTTGAAAAATTTATCACCAAGTTAATATGCATGAAAGATTACATCTCAATCATGTAAGTAATATGCCAAAGCATTTTAATATTTAGACTTCTACCTCCTAATAAAATATTAGATTTCTACTATGTCATTTCATCCTAGTTTTCAAGGGCTTTCACAACCTGTTGATAAAATTACTTTTCAGAACTCCCTAACAAGCATCTTCTAGGGTGGCCAGATAAATGTTCCATTTCTAATAATGTCGCATTGGGATACTTCCACTTATTTTCATTTTTATCATTTGGTTAATATCATTGCTCTACCTTCACTTCCCTTCACTCAATTTATACTTTTAAAAGAAGTTGAATTATGTTCTTCCCATAGACTTTTGTCATTCTCCAAACTTCATCCATTTTCATTTTTCTGACCCTTGGTAATTTTTACCCTATATTGCTCCATGCGGGCTTTAATTCTATATGTTGTTTATCTTTTTTTGGTTGTTTCTCATGTTGTCTTTTAACTCCATGAGGGGTAAGACCGTATCATCTTCTTATCTGTTGTACATTTTCACGGGACTTTTGAGTATTGCTCAATAAATACTCATTGAGCAGATGAGCACTCACAGAGGTGCAACATAGAACAATGTATTTGGTCAGTCAGTTCCCAATCCTAAAACAAACTCAAGAGAGAAAAATTTGATTAAAACATCATAAATATAAATATTTTTAACAAATAATAACAAAGATAGCAAAAATCATAGAGTACTGTAAGTTCTATGAGAATAGAACTTTAGCTCAGAGCTGAATGTATGAGTTTCTGTTTTACAAATTATTTTGTTACTTGGCAATTCAATTTTCAATATTTTGTTAATTTGAAGCAAAACTGTATCAACAACTAATTATTTTACATTCCATACTGGACATAGTGATAAATTGTAAATACCTGAAAAATTGTCATAGAAGCAGGACCCTTTTTAAAGTTCATTTGCTGAATAGATTATCCAATGTCTCTTCTTGAAAAAATTTTGGAATGTGATTTTTTATGCAAAATAGTAAAGCAGAAAAGTGAAGAAAAAACACATACTACCTGCATTGTGTACATGTATGTTAGGGTATGTCTTGTGAAGGGACAAAAATTCGAATCTATATTCTTGAGGAAGGTATTCAATATGTTCCTTTTTTTAAACAGGGAGTGTCTCCATAAATATGAAAACATACTTTTAGAATTTGTGCAGTTAAACAGACTAAAGAAAGTAGCATACACTTTTAGAAACAATTTTTAAATAAGTATTTGTATTTATTGTAGAAAATTCTAAGGTTTATTGTAGATTCACTTTTCAATTATGAGTGATAGATAATCTGTCTTTTAACCAGACAGTGGAGAAAGGCAATAAACTACCGTATCTATTGAGCATGATTCTTGAAAACTGTTTTAAGAGTTAAAAAGGAAGGAGATATTAGTGAGTAACTAAGAAAATGTGTGTGTATTTCTAGGTTTACTCTTTGCCGTCTGTTAGTGTGTCAAGTAGAGAGCTATTTCCAGAAAATAAAAGTTAAGCACATTGGACTCTGTAATCAAGGAAAAAATCTTTTTTAGCCCTCAATAATTCTTCAGCACCGTATGTCTTCTTCCTGTACGTTCATTATACTGTTGTTATTTCCTCCATCGGTTTTTCATGAACAAGGTAGTCCTTTCAGAAAAGTGGAGCCAAAGCAATATATGAAACAAAGAACATAATTGCTTTTCATCAGCATGGAATTGTTTCCTGGTTGATTAATTGAGTGTATGTATTTTGTTATAACTCATCGCCATCATCTGAGCTGAGACTGCTCCTCCTACTGCTCTCTTTGGAAACTTCAGGGGAAGTGGCAGAAAGTAGAGGGTCTGTCCCAAAAGGCGATAAGGTGTCCAGTAGCATGTCATCCAATCTTTGTTCCTCTTTTGAAGCAGCACTGAATGACAGATCTGTGAAGTGTGACAAAGGATCGGAGAAGGACAAAGCTTGGTCACAGAGCTCAGGGCTTAGTCCCTGCAACTGAGTCGGCTGTTGGCAGTAGTCTACTGAATTCTGCTCAAGAGGGGTCTGTGTGTTGACATGAGCATCCATATCAATGGTGCCAAGTGAAGCCAGGGATGGAAGACCATGAGCACGAGCCTGTATTTCTAGTTCCTGCAATTTCAAACAATAATGATTAAATAATGACTTTGAAAGTGGACTTAACTCAAGCCTTAGCTGGTTTGGCTCAGTGGATAGAGCATCCGCCCGCAGACTGAAGGGTCCCGGGTTTGATCCCGATCAAGGGCACATGCCCGGATTGCAGGCTCGATCCCCAGTGGGGACATGTGGGAGGCAGCCAGTCAATGATTCTCCCTCATCATTGATGTTTCTATCTCTCTCTATCTCCCTTCCTCTCTGAAATCAATAAAAATATATATATTTTTAAAAAGAAAGTGGGCTTAACTCTACATAATAAATAATAGAACCAAAATATTAACAAGTATTCAAAATGAAGAGTAATGTAAATTATAAACATTCCTGCAAATAATAGAATTTGCTGTATTTCTATTGACTAAAAAAATAACCCTCAAAATATGCAGTTTTTTAAAAAAATTTCCCTCCCCTTGTTCTATAAGGGAATACACTATGGTCCCATAGTGACACAGACTACATTTAAAGTGAATAGAAAAGCTTCTTTTTTTTATCTTGTTAGTCATCACCTGAGGATATTTTTCCATTGATTTTTAGAGAGAGTGGAGGGGGAGGGGAAGAGACAGAGACAGAGAAACATCGATGTGAGAGACATCAATTGGTTGTCTCCCACACACACCCTGACCGGGCTGGGGACTGAGCCTGCAACCAAGGTATGTGCCCTTGACCAGAATCAAACCCATGACCCTTCAGTTCGTGGGCTGATGCTCTAACCATTGAGCAAACCCTCTAGGGATTCCATTTATTTTTCCAGATTAATTTCTCACTATATTACAGTTCCATGGAAACAAAGTAAATGGTTTACCTGGCTATAAGCATACTCATTAAAAAACAACAACTTGAGAGTTATAAAAACCCATATTTTAATATTTTGTGTCACATGAACAGATGAGAAGTGACAATATAAAACCTGCACAATATGGCTTGAGGCAATAGAATCCATAGCAATGTTACTAAAGACGTCAAAGGGGAAGGAAGAATATACTGTCCAGTATTATGTAGAGAAGCACATGTTCTACTTCATTATTATTATTTGGCTGAAATAATATCATGTGCATTTATAAAATTCATTCTATGTTCTGCATTTTGTAAGTAGTTGTCATTCATTCTATTTTCTTAAAGTCTTCTCAACCCCAGATTTCTAATCAAAACCTAACTGAAACAACCCAATTCATGAACTTCTAAAAGACAATAAAGTTGTCCTCCAGAAGGAAAAAATAATTATTAATAAGAAAAAAATAAATGAGACCAATGAATAAAAACGATGACAAGTCAGTCAGAGTTCAGCCGCGTGGTTTGTGGCAACATTCTTATAACAACCTGAATTCTGAGCAGAAGCCGCCTGTTCGCCTGCTCCAGTTCCTTCTGTCTGTGCTCTAATTCCCGCGCTCTCTGTTGTTCCTTTTGTAGCCACTTGATGTACTCCACTGATGCCTTCAGAATGGTGCCTTTGTTCCAGCGCATATCACTGTAGAACAGAGATAACCTTTTCACAATTGTGCATGTCAGCAGAATTCATAAGAACTTAAAAATCTTTTACATTAATGTGAAATAATGATTTACATGACTATTATTCACTCTTAGATATTATTGCTTCTGAATAGAAATTTTAATAGAATAGTTAAGGAGCCCTTATATAGTAAAATTAATCCCAGAATGAAAATAAGTGTCAAAGGAAAGTAATAAAGTGACTTTTTGTGGGAGAGCTAAATGCAATATCATGATTCTACCATTACAGTTTTTATATTTTTAGTGAAAATTGCTTTTATTATTAACTCCAAGATTAAAATCTATGTGTGGTATTTCTGCATTAATGAACTAGGAAATGTACATTATTGAGGACTTAAGCCTAAATTTTTAAAGATCGTTTCAAATGTACCTACTTTCTAATAAGGTTGCTTTTATGCTTCTAAGAAAAAAAAAAGTCCCTCCTGAATGGTGATCCTGAGTGATTGTGAAACAAATCAGAATTTGGCAACATCATTTTATGCAATACAGCAAAACTTTCTAGAATTATTAAGCAAATTTTTCTGCACAAAAGTATCAATGCTTTTTTAAAAAGCTGGATACCTATTTTTAAATAAGTTTCATATAAGTAAATAAATTAAACATTATCAGATAACCTTTCAGGCTATAGCATAGAACAAAATTTACTTAAACATATTTATGAAATAGGAATATGATGAATCTGAAATCACAGAACAAGTTATTGATTTTAATATCTGAAAACACACATCAGTGAATTTAATATTATCTGAGAGTTAATAATATTTGAGGAGAATGAGGCCAATCTAAGTGCTAAAAATCAACCTGAGTTTTTGGGAAACCTTGATGAATTTTCAATTTAGTCATGAGGTGTTTTAAATACAGCATAAAGTAAGCATGTAGGGAATTTTTAAAAAATTATTCCACTGCATATATTTTTAGTTTATCTGACCTTAGTAAAATATCTTGAGCTCAATATATATTTACTAAGTGATCAGAAGTGAGAAAATAGACTTTAAGAAAAAATCTGGCTTGTATATGAATCATTGGAAGTTCGTGTTAGATGACATTTCCATTAATTTCAACAAATTAAAGGGAGCTGTATTGTTCTACCCATCAGGTGAACATGTTTCTTAGGGACTGGAGGAGCCTTCTTCTACTGAAATGCGCCCAACTACTTGGTGTCTATCTCAAGTTTGAAAATGCTTTGTCAGTTCTCTAGGGCTGTAATAGCTGTTGGTCTCATTTCTCTCACTAGTCACTGATCTGGTGGTGTGAAGCAGGGAAAAAACAGCTACTTTTGTCATTAAACCAAGAAAGTATTTGTATCTGAAAAGTGTAGTGAATTAAAACTCTAAGCAGTAGGGAGCCTCGTGGCCCTAATTTTCTTTCATTTATTCTCATGGGAAGAAAAAACTTGGACAGAGGAACTAAGATGAAAAAGATAACCCAGCTAACTTGGAAGTTTAAAGCACAGCTTATTTAGATCTAAAATAAATCTTCCAAATGGTGGTAGAGACCACCCAATGGGACTGCCTTCAATTTCTACATGATGTAATTTGTACTCAATTTTAAAAAGTTCACTCTATTTTAAAGTCATTTTAAACATGAAATTTCTCCTTAATATATTTTAAGTTTACCAAAATTATTAAGGAGATGTGTACCTCTCTCACAAGACAAATTCAAGAAGCCAGACATTAAAAACATCTTATATGACAGTAACACCAACACATGTAAAGGTATGCCTAAGGAATGAATGTTGATACTGCTTTTTCATTTTCTACAAAACAATTTTCTTTGAAGAACTTAAAACTTTTGAGGAACTTGAATGAATTTAAAGCAGGCAACAGAAGTGCATATATTAAAGCAGAAGTATGGCCAGGCAAAACTATTGAAAAGGCACAATCTGTTTTCATCTTTGGAATGCATATCCACTTCAAAACAATAAAACATTAAATAAAAAAGTGGTCAACATGACAGATTTGATTTTCCTTGCTTAGATGAACATTGAAAAAGGCTTATTAGGTTTCATGTACTACCTCAATTACCATCCTATATAATAAAAGGCCAGCCACCATAAGCATAACAACCGGAACAACCAGAGACCAGAATGGCCCTGCCCCCAAGCAAGTGGTTAGGGGCAATCAGGCAGGCAGGCAGAGTAGTTTGGAGTGATCAGGTAGGCAGACCAGTGATTAGGGGTGATCAGGTAGCAGACCTGCGGTTAGGGGTGATCAGGTAGGCAGGCAGGTGGTTAGGGATGATCAGGTAGGCAGATGAGCAGTTAGGGGCAAACAGGTAGGCAGATGGCCCCCAAGCAAGTGGTTAGGGGTGATCAGGCAGGCAGGCAGAGTGGTTTGGGGTGATTAGGTAGGCAGACCAGCGGTTAGGGGTGATCAGGTAGGCAAGCAAGTGGTTAGGGGCGATCAGGTAGGCAGACAGCCCCTCACAGTGCTGGCCCCACCCCCCAGCAAAGAAAGAGGGAGGCTCAGGCCACCGGCAGCAACTCTGTGGCAGGTGTGCGGCCGGCCAGTGATCACCCTGAAGAGGGAGGGCCAGGCCAGCCAAGCTATCGCACCCCACGACTGTTGACTGCAGAGGGAGGCCACTGGTGGCAGGGGAGAGGGGCAAGCGCTGCACAGATGATAAGCAGTGGCAGCAGCAGGGGTGGGGCCAGCTGCCTGCAGCCAGGGGAAGGAAAACCCCGATAAGCCCTATTCTCAGGCCAGGCCTAGGGACCATACCTGAGGGGTCCCAGATTGTGAGAGGGTGCAGACTGGACTGAGGGACCCCCAAGTGCATGAATTTTCATGCACCAAGCCTCTAGTCTATATATATCGACAGGCCTCTAGTCTAAGCGACCTTTTGACCGTTTGACCATTTGACCGGTAGCTATGATGTGCACTGACAACCAGGGGGCAGACACTCAATGCACAGGCTGGAAACATGGAACAGACTGATGAATCTCAGAGGGAAGGGGGAAGGGGGGGTGGGAAGAGATTAACCAAAGATTTTATATGCACACTAGAGGCCTGGTGCATGGATTCATGCAACAGTGGGGTCCCTCAGCCTAGCCTACAGGGATCGGGCCAAAACTGGCAGTCTGACATCCCCCAAGTACAAGGGACCCCACCAGTGCATGAATCTGTGCACCAGAACTCTAGTTCATATATAAAAGCAGGAGAATGTTATGACTATAGAGAAAAAGAAAACAGTTTCATAAAAAATAAACCACTATAATTGGTTTTTCAAATTAAAGGGTAGAAAAAATAAAAATTTTATGGTATCATTAGAATAATTTATGTTTTGATAATATTTTCTATTTTTACTAATATGACTTTTTTGCATCTGAAGTTTTTCTTTTTTTATTATCTTAACTTTTACATATGTCTCTTTTTTCCCCGATTGACCCCCTCCCCCAACCATTCCCACCCCGAGCAAGCCCCCTACCCCTGCCCCAGTGCCTGTGTCCATGTATATAAGTCCTTTGGTTGCTCTCTAACCACCCCCCCACCTCACCTGCCATTTGTCTCTGGATCTATTTTTCATCCTCAGATTATGTTGATCATTATATCCCACATATGAGTGAGATCATGTGATATTATATTTCTCCAACTGGCTTATTTCGCTTAGCATAATGCTCTCCAGTTCCATCCATGCTGTTGCAAATGGTAAAAGTTCATTCTTTTTTATAGCAGCATAGTATTTCATTGTGTATGTGTACCATAGTTTTTTAATCCACTCATCTGCTGATGGGCACTTAGGTTGTTTCCAAATCTTAGCTATTGTAAATTGTGCTGCTATGAACATAGGGGTGCATATATCCTTTCTGATTGATGTTTCTAGTTTCTTGGGATATAGTCCTACAAATGGGATTACTGGCTCAAATGGAAGTTCCATTTTTAACTTTTTGAGGAAACTCCATACTGTCTTCCACAGTGGCTGCTCCAGTCTGCATTCCCACCAGCAGTGCATGAGGGTTTCTTTTTCTCCACATCCTCTCCAGCACTTGTCGTTTGTTGATTTGTTGATGATAGCCATTCTGACAGGTGTGAGATGGTATCTCATTGTTGTTTTGATTTGCATCTCTCGGATGATTAGTGACTGTGAGAATGTTTTCATATGTCTCTTGGCCTTCTGTATGTCCTCTTTTGAAAAGTGTCTACTTAGGTCCTTTGCCCATTTTTTTATTGGATCATTTATCCTCCTTTTGTTAAGTTGTATGAGTTCCCTGTAAATTTTGGAGATTAAATCCTTATCTGAAATAGCATTGGCAAATATGTTCTCCCATGCGATGGGCTTTCTTATTGTTTTGTTGATGGTTTCTTTTGCTGTGTAGAAGCTTTTTATTTTGATGCAGTCCCATTTGTTTATTTTCTCCTTAGTCTCCATTGCCCTAGGAGCTGTGTCAGTAAATATATTGCTTCGACATATGTCTGCTATTTCGCTGCCTATGGAATCTCGTAGGATGTTTATGGTTTCCCATCTTACATTTAAGTCCTTTATCATTTTGAGTTTATTTTTGTGTATGGTGTAAGTCGGTGATCTAGTTTCATTTTTTTGCATGTATCTGACCAAACTTCCCAACACCATTTATTGAAGAGACTGTCTTAGCTCCATTGTATGTTCATGCCTCCTTTGTCAAATACTAATTGGGCATAGTGGTTTGGGTCAATTTCTGGGTTCTCTATTCTATTCCATTGGTCTATATGTCTGTTCTTGTGCCAGTACCAGGCAGTTTTGAGAACCGTGTCTTGGTAATATAGCTTGATATCTGGTATTGTGATCCCTCCAACTTTATTCTTCTTTCTCAGGATTGCTGTCAAATATGACTTTTTTTGTAAATACAATTCATAAAAAGCACATATAAAGTAGTCCACAATCACACACCAGTAGAAGCTCTTCACATTTTGTGTTTGTTAGTTTCATTTGGGTTTATTTTTTACCAATCGTCAGAAGATATCCCCTCATTGTTGTTGTATTTTTATTTAATTTTTTCAACCTATATGTCTTAACTACAGCTGTTCACTGTATTACTTCTATTTCTAACCTTACTATTTTGACCTAACAAAGAAATAAAAATTTCTGAATGTATTTGAAATATAGAAATGGCAACTTCAGAGATTTGAAAATGTCTTTAGATTTTTAGCCTTGATTTCTTAAGCCAACCCATAAGTTTTTCCTAATCATAACTGAAAGGGTCCTCAGTGGTCAAGCACTTCACAGCTCCTGCTATTTGCCCAAGAGCACGTGGTGTTCAGAAGATGAGCCCCAGGTCTCTTAATTCAATTCAGCAATCTTTCTGCAAATCTGTGGCTTCCCCGCTTTTTCAAATGCATCTGACATAAGAAACATTTTTTCTAAATTGACTCAGTACATAAAATTATGACGTGTTTCACAAGTTATTACTATCCTCCTTTGGTGCAATAGGTAATACTTTTGATAGTTTCAATGTCATTCTTCCTTCTTTGTTTAAAAATGCTGGATCTGTCCCATTTGATTGATTTCATGATCCATGTTTTTAAATTTTTTAAAAAATATATTTTTGTTAATCCTCTGATAAGGGGTTAATTTCCAAAATATATAAAGTACTCATATAACTCAACAAAAGGAAGACAAACAAACCAATTTTTAAGAAATAGGCAGAGGACCTTCATAGACACTTTTCTAAAGAGGACATATAAATGGCCAAGAGACATATGAAAAAATGCTCAATGTCACTAATTATTAGGGTATACATATTTTAAAAATCCATCTATGCTTGTGTTTTCTAAGTTTTTGTTTTATTTTAAATAAATGAAGATATACTATGGCCTTAGCCAGTTTGGCTCAGTGGATAGAGCATGGCCTGCCAACTGAAGGGTCCCAGGTTTGATTCTGGTCAAGAGCACATGCCCGGGTTGTGGGCTTGATCCCCAGTGGGGGGTGTGCAGGAGGCACCAGATCGATGATTCTCATCAGTAATGTTTCTATCTCTCTCTTCCTCTCCCTTCTTCTCTGAAATCAATAAAAATATTTTTTTAAATAATAAATAAATAAAAATAAGTTTACTATGCATTTTAGTACAGTTTCTGAAGGAAATAAAAATTAAAACACATATTCAAATAAAAAGGCCTTTGATTTACATAAAATAATTGGTAACATATGTGCATTTATATTTTAAGTGTTAAAAAATTTCTATCAGGAAAACGTTTACTCTTCCTACTAATAAGAAGAGCCCTGCCCCCTCCTGTAGCTCTCCACCGCCCACTTGTAGCTCGCTGCCCCACCCTCTTGCTGATCCGTGACCTGGTCATTACACAGTCGGTTGTTATGCTTCACTGCGTAATGACCATTTGCATATTACATCTTTAGTATATAGGACTAGAGGCCCAGTGCACGAAATTCATGCACTGCAAGGTGGGGGGTCCCTCAGCCCAGCCTGCCCCCTCTCATAGTCTGGGAGCCCTCAGGGGATGTCCTACTGATGGGCAGTCTGGCCACAGAGGCTCAGAGCAGGTGCCTCGTGTGTGTGTGTGTGTGTGTGTGTGTGTGTGTGTGTGTGTGTGTGTTTCCCCGCTGGGGGCCTGCCCCCAGCCGCCTGTGAAGGCTCAGAGCAGACGCCCCTCTGTGTTGATCTCTCAGGCTCCTGGCCACACCTGCATGTTGTTCTATCAGGCTTGGGGCTGTGCCCGGCCCCTCCTCCTGAGCTGTTCGTGACAGTTATGGAGTCCTGACCTCATTTGCATATTACTTCATATATATATATATATATATATATATATATATATATATATATATATATATATAGCCAGCATTTGGAGAGGCCAGTTCTCAGTTTGAATGAAACATTTTTCAAGTTATTATTGATGCTACAGATCATGTTTTTATGTTTTTGGGGAAACATTCAACATTCTAAATTGATACTTTAATCAACTATTTGTTGAAATGCAAAATCTCAAACATCTGTTTAACTGACTTTGTATGATACCAAAACTTGAATAAACATTTCATTAAGATAATCAATTAGTGGTTGGCATCAGTCAACATGTTTTTTTATAATATAATTCTATTTTTTTACTTGCATGTCTCTAGAAACATGGAACCTCTGAAAATCCAACAATGCAATTTTCATGTACACATAAATCTTACTTTGGAAAAATTGTTATAACCATAAATTGAGTATAGATAGCAGTCAGTATCATGGACAGCATCTGATGTTAAATTTGTTAATATTGGTGTCACACAGAAAGACCCACATAATCTGAGGAGACTAATTTACTTATTTTTTATAGCTCAAAAGGACAACTGCTAGTAACAACCTTGATGACAATCAGCCCTGAATAGATATTTTAAAATGAGACCAGAAGTAGCCTAATCTTTACCATAAGCTGCTTAATTTCCTAGTCATTAGTCCTCCTCTACCCTCTCCCCTCCCACCCACTTTGGGGGGTAGTAAAACCAAAACATTATTATAGAAATGATTGTTGAACTCACGGGTCATTAGTCTTTGGAATAAGAGTGCCAAGCTCCTTGATTCTGTAGTTAATATTATACCTTCTTCTTCTTTCAACTATTAAAACAAAATTATTTATTGTTCTCATTAAAATACAATTCACTTTTGAATAGCTGTAAACTTTCTTAATAATTTTTAAAAACAATAAATGAAAATTTCCATTTAGTTAAAAGAATATTTCTTAGAAATAAAATAAAAATGTAAATATGTTTTATTCTGAAAGTGAAAATAACAATAGCAGAATTATATTTCTATTATACACAATGTTTTAAAGATATGTCCTCCCCAAAACATGTTTTTCATTCCTTGAAATGCTATTATATTTACTCATACTGATATACATATATATATATATATATATATATATATATATGTGTGTGTGTGTGTGTGTGTGTGTGTGTGTGTGTGTGTGTATATATATATAATTATTTCACACATATGCATTTGCCAGTCCAAAGGATTATAATCTTTTGATGTCTGCACCATACTTAACTCTTCTTATATACTTCCGGCCCCGACACAAAGTTTGGCACATAGTAGCTGCATGTGCCCAATTAGACTATGACCTCCTTGAGGGCAGAGACAATTTCTTTCTCATTTTTATAACCCTAGAGTGCTTGGCATATAGGAGGGGCTAAATAAATCTATAGTGATTAGACTGTAAATATATTTTTCTAATTTAAATTTTCTCAATAATATATAGAGCAGTGATTTTCAAACTTTGATGTACATCAGACATACCTGGGAGTATTGTTAAAATAGATTTGTACCCCACATGTAGAGATTCTGATTTTAGTAGGTCACAGTTGGGGTCCATGAATTTGCATTTATAACCAGCTTCTGGGTCATGCTGTTTGTCTAGGGCCCACACTTTGAGAACTACTGATATGGGTTCTTATTCAAAGACTGTTTGAATTTCTATGCATTCATTGCTAATGGAAATTTATCTAATAAATGTTCAATAATTGTCAGATACACAAATATGTAGTTTCCTATATTGCCCTCCTCTAAGAGCAGTCATGGAGTATAGTCTTATAGTCTGGTACAGGGAACTGAAGACAGAAAAATGTCAGGAAGAAAAAGAAAATCATATATAAAAATATTGGAAAACAAACAATACATGTTTGAAAATTAAGATCTGTTACCAGAAACACGGAAAATCATGAAATACTATCAATTGCCTTGGTGAACCTACTCTACAAAGCAATTTACCATGAATGGATTTGACCTTCAGGAATAATACATTGAAATTCCTCTGAAATTAGAATATAATTGGTTTTTGAGAGAGTTTATTTTCCCTCTTTATCAATATTATTTTTCCTGTACATGTGATTCAAAAAACAATGACACAACATTAAAAAAAAAACACTGAAAAGAAAATAAACAAAGGTAAAGCTGTTAAAAAATACATATATATTTCACAGTGAGAACTTATTAATAGTTCTATGTTCACACATACTCACTCCTATATTATAAAAAAGAGTTTAAAACATGAAATGAGTAACAGCTATGAAGGATGTTCCTAATTTTATCTCAGAATAAGGGGGAGGGGAGGGGAGTCCTATAATATTTCTCAAAAATCTATTATTTCAATGCACTGTATGTAAAATATCAAAGATTTCTACTCAATTTAGACTGTGCTCAATACATGTTTAATGGCTAATTATAATGAGATCTTTAATTTCTCAATGTTTGCATATCAAGTGAGCCCCTTCTAAGCTACACCACTGAGTACTTTGCAAACACCCTGGGCCCACTTCCAGAGCCTGGGCAGGCCACGCTCCAGGTCCCTCTTCCCGAGGGGGGACTGAGGCATCAGTGTGCTCACCCCTAGGCCCAGGATGTGGACAAGGGGCAGTTGTTTGCAGAGATTTGCATGGAGTTTCCATGTGTTGGATGAGGTATTCACACTCAAGCCTGAGGCCACAGGTAACGTAAGAATGAAATATGGGGTGAAGACAGGTGAGATGGGCTGACATCTCCCCGCCCTAACATTCCCACTCAGAACTCTGAGGATCTGAGAATTTTAAATTCACACCTGGCCTTCTAATCCTCAGGAAGGATAGAAAAGATTTCATTTTATTTTATTTTTTAGCATTTCTAGCTTTTAAATACTAAGGCATCTGGTAGGTGGGACTTCTGTCTTCCTGACACAATCTTCACAAATTTTAAGAGTTGTCCTAGATTCCTCATATTTAAAATGGGAATCAATGTTTTAACTCTGATATCTCCAAAAAGCAAGATTAATCAGTAAGGAAAGCCAGATTAGAAAATACTTCAATAATGGACATACCAGGCACCTATCATACTTTATATTAAATAGCCAGTGGTTTAAGCTGTAGACATAAGAGTGAAGAAAAAAGCAAGGAGCGTAATAATTAGCAGGCTAAAACTAGGAGAGAAGCCCATGGTTCCTTCATGTATTAATTCTTTCTATCAATAATTAGCTCTCCTTACTCATGTTCTACCTGTCTCATAATCTGGATCAAAGTGTACCTGCTCTGCCACTAGAGGATTTATTATTTTTAGAGGATTTATTATTTATTATTTATTTATTATTCTTTCCTCATTTTGTGATTCGGGTCCCAGAACAAAAAGGCTTCACACTCAATTGGTCAAGCTCAGGTGAGACAGTTAAGCACTTGAAAGATGACCAAACACTGCCTAGCTCAGCATTGCTGCTACGCTGCTTCATTTGCTTGTATTTCTTTATCTCATGGGACCTGTTACCAGAGTTAAACTGGACCCCTTGGAAGGCATCCGAGACATTTTTTTGGACAAGTGGAATTCAGCAATCCAACGTAAGTAATTCCTTTCAAATAACCTATCATTAGGGAGGAAAGAGAAGATTGACAGGAAGATAAGAACCTGGAGTTATGTTTCTTGTTATTTAAATGGTGAACACTTTCTAAAGTCACTTTTAACTTTGTACACCTTTGAGTCACAAGAGTTCACATGTAACTAAATGCACTCATCTCCTTCACACACAGCCTTCTTGAGCTAAAGTGATCAAGTAGAGAATTTGAGATGCCTCACTTTGTAAAAGAGTATAGCTTTTCTGAGAGTCCACATCATTTAAATTTCCCCAAATAGCTCAAGTATGAGCATGTGCTATTAATTTTTGTCATATGACCTCAAAATACTTATGGAGCGACAATGAATGACCACACATTTTACCTCCATGCATTACCTCTTGCATTACTTAATTTTGTTTGGAAAAAAAGGAAAATATACTCACTGAGGTTGTGGTTGTCCTTTTTTTGTCTCTCTTTGGCCAAAGCTCGAGTATCAGTTTCTATCAAAAGGAAGATAGTTAAAACAATTCTTAGTCCTATTTCATACCCCTTTAATCAACATAATTTAGGAATACTAGGTAAAAATATAATATTACTTGCTTCAAATGGTATATTTTTATGCAGATATTTAGAAAATGAAGCACAGTACTCTTAGTAGGAGGTAATGGCAAACTCATTAGACTTTGAGTAGTAAAACCTGAATTTGTAATCTGGCCCTCTGTTTAATAGCCATGTGATCTATTATCTAAATTTTCTGTGTCTCGGGCTATTCATCTTCAAAACTGGTATAATATTGAGATGATTAAAAGAGGTATAATGCACAGCAAATATTAAACTGCTCAATCATTATTATTTCCAGAACTTTAAGACTATTCAACTTTTTTTCCAACCTAAACTTCTACAACATACATTTTTCATAAATAATTATGATTTCTACAATCTAAGTTTGGGAGCTAAGTACATTTTTTATATATTACTATCAAACAATTCCACCCTTCCAATAAATGACACTTTATATGCTATGTGGTTGTGAGCATTTGTGAAAGCCTCCAACATAGCCCACAATGATTCTCATTCATGATATTCACAGATTTGGTAATTCCCTCTCATGTTAATAGGGATTGACCAGTGAAACCAATAGAATATTGTGAAAATGGCATATGGGTACCAGGACTGGGTCATAAAAGACATTTTCAGCTACCAATTTGCTGTGTCTTGGGTCACCACTTGTCATGTCATGATGACATTTGAGCAGCCCTACGGATCTCCACATTGCTAACTATCAGGATCACTTGCCAACGAGCAGCACTCATTTTCAAGACCTGTGAGCAAACCACCTTGGGAACACATCCTCCAGCCACGCTAGTGTCCAATGTCTATCTCCGCAAACATCTTGACTATAGCTTATGAGAAACTCAGTTAGAACCAATTTCCTAAGCCATCCCTGGATTTCTGTCCCCATGGAGATTGTGTGAGATCATAAGTGTTTATTATTTCAAGTTGCTATGTTTGGGGATAATTTGTTATATAGAAATAGATAATTAATACAGTGTTCCTTGAATTATTCTAGTTTTTAAACTAAGTAATGCATGAATACATTTATTTAAATGTGTTCATTTCAAACTATAGTCATTAATTTTAGCTTAAATTATTTGAATACATAGATATTTGTGAGTTATTGATTAGACTTCCAGAATAGACATATTATATTTAATAAAAATGTTAATATTAATAGTGTAAAACGTATTAAAGAACAATGTTTGGGCTCCAAACTTAAAAAAAATGTATTACAGAAATGTCAACTGAATTTTATTTTATTCTTTTTTTAATCTTTATTGTTAAAAGTATTACATGTGTCTCCCCCCCACCCACCCCACTGACCTCTTCTAGCCTGCCCCTGTCCCAGGCCTTCACCACCCTATTGACTGTGACCATGGGTTGTGCATATATGCATACAAGTTCTTTGGTTTATCTCTTCCCACCCACCCTCCCCCCCCTTCCCTCTGAGATCCGACAGTCTGTCCCATGCTTCTATGTTTCTGGATCTATTTTGTTCATTAGATTCACATACGGAGACACTAACACTGGACATATAAGTCAAGGAACCCTTGTTTGATCCATTTCTTCCTCTACTCAGCTGGATGATTTTAGGAAAATAACTCCTCTAACCACTGGTTTTCTCATCTCTATATTGAAGAAACATGACAATGGTCCTATAATGCCTTTGAACTGTAACAATTTTGAAAAATATTATTTAAAATAGAGGTGTTTTTATCCACTTGAGAAATTAAATGTGAGTCTATTAAGAAATTCCTAAAACAAGCTAAATGGGAAAATCTAACTACTTATTTTATATCAAAGTCTACATACAAAAGTACTAATTTCCCCAATCTATTAATCTATTATTTTTCAACCATGTTAACAAATTGCATCTATTTAACATCAAAATTAGCCTATATTACATAAAGACCTTTATATTTATATTTATTGAACTGTAAGTTATACTCTCTAAATGTTCCCCATTTTAACTGACAAATTTGTTAATACTTTTACATTTTTATTTAGCTAGGTAATATATGCCATACCTTTCTTATATAGTTGACTACAAAAGGATAAAACTATAAAAACAACATTACCTGTAATTTCTTTTTTCATTGATAAACTCCTCGAACAGGAAGCATTTGTAAGGCCCATATTAACTGATGAAATTCCCTGCTCACCACTATACACATCCAAAATATTTCCAGATAACTTTAGAGAAAAAAGAAATGATCAATTAAAACTTCTGTGGACATTGGTATATTTAGTTGTGTATTTTAAATTTGCTATTTGAAAATAATTTATAGCATATATTTTAATTTTAAATAATAGTATGAATTTACTTTTAAGTACCTATCCTATGTAATAAAAGCCTAATATGCAAAGTGTCCCATCGTTTAGTCGACCATTTAACCAATCAAAGCATAATACGCTCAGGCCCCTTAACCACTTGCTATGACATGCACTCACCACCAGGGGGCAGAGAGTTGACCGGTCAACTAGTCACTATGATGTGCATGGGGCAGAGGCTCCGACTGGTAGGTTAGCTTGCTGCTGAGGTCCGGCCAATTGGGACTGAGCAAGGTGGGCCAGACACACTCTGGAGCCCTCCCATGATCCCTCCACAGCTGGCCAATCTCCTGTGTCCCTCCCCAGCCCTGACCGTGCACTGGTGGGATCCCTCAGCCTGGCCTGCACCCTCTCACAATCTGGGCTGAGGGACACCGGAATTTTGTGCACCGGGCCTCTTGTAAATAATAACCTTAAATGTAAATGGAAGAAATGCTCCAATCAAAAGACAGGGTAGTTGAATGGATAAGAAAACATGACTGTATATATGCTGTGTACAAGAGACCCACCTCAGAAGAAAAGTCTTCACCCAGACTGAAAGTGAAGGGATAGAAAAAAATATTCCATGCAATGGAAATAAACAAACAAAAATCCTGGTATAGCAATACTTACAACTGACAAAATAGAATTCAAAACAAAGACCATAAAAGAGAAAAAAAGGTAACTACCTAATACTAAAGGGATCTATGCAATATGAGGAAATAAACCTTGAAAACATATGCATCAAATATAGGAACACCTAAATATATCAAAACAAAAAAACAACACACAAAAACTCTTAGTGGACTTCAAGGGAGAGATTGGCAGCAATAGTGTCATAATAGGGGACTTTAACACCCCAATATAAAAACTGGATAAATCATCCAGACAAAAAATTAAGAAGAAAACAGTGAGCTTAAATAACACACTGGATCAGATAGATTCAATTGATATTTACATATTGAAAGCATACCTAGCATCTTCTCATGTATAAAAAAACCTATAACCAATATCATACTCAATGGGCAAAAGCTAAAAATGTTTCCTTTAAAATTAGGAACAAGAGAGGGATGTCTACTTTCAACACTCTTATTCAGTGTAGTGTTGGAATTCCTGGCCACAATGATCAGACAAGAAGAAAAATTAAAAGGCATCCAAATGAGAAAAGAGGGAGTAAAACTGTCATTTTTTTTTCAGATGGCATGATACTGTACATAGAAAACCATAATACTCCACCAAAAATTACTAGATCTAATAAATGAATTCAGCAAAGTAGCAGGATACAAAATTAATATCCAGAAATGGGTGGTATTTTTATACACCAACTAGAGGCCCGGCACATGAAATCCATGTGAGGGTATGGTCCGTAGGCCTGGCCTGCGATCAGGGCCATCTTCCCCAGCTGCTCACAACCGGTCCCACCCCCCGCCGCCACTGACCCCCAGTTCTCCGTTCGCCATCAGGTGATCAGTGCCTGATGGCCGGGGGAAGGGACCGAGAAGTTGGCTGTTCCCACCTGCTCACCAGCCCCACCCCCGCTGCAGGTGGCCATCAGGCGATCAGGGCCTGCCGGATGGGGAAATAATTTGCCGGATTGGGTGGGGGGTCCCTTCTGGGAGGGGCTGGGCTGGCCTGGGCAAGGGACCACTGATGGTTTGCAGGCCTGCCATGTCCCGGCTTTGTCAGGAAGGACATCCACAATGACGTCTGGTCTATCCGGTCTAATTAGCGCATTACCCTTTTATTAGTATAGATAATAAACTCACAGGAAAATATAATAAAACAATCCCATTTCTTTAAAAAAAATTTTTCAATATGTTTTAATTATTGATTTTAGAGAGTAAGGGAGAGGGAGAGAGATATATTAACATCAATAATGAGAAAGAATAATTGACCGGCTGCCTCCAGCATGCCCCATACTGGGGATCAAGCCCACACAACCCAGGCATGTGCCCTGACCGGGAATCAAACCATGACCTCCTGGTGCATAGGTCAACACTCAACCCCTGAGCCATGCCAGCTGGATAACTATTCCATTTCCATTGCAATAACAACAAATAAATAACATACCTAGGAATAAACTTAACCAATGGGTAAAAGGCCTGAAAACTATAGGACACTGAAGAAAGAAACTGAGGGAGATGCAAACAAGTGGAAGCGTATACCATGTACATGGGTTGGAAGATGTACAAAATTAACATCATTAAAATGTCCATACTACTCAAAGCAATCTATATATTCAATGCAATTCCGATTAAAATACTAATGGCATTTTTCACAGATCTAGAACAAATATTCCAAAAACTATGTGGGACCAAAAAGACCCTGAATAGTATCAGCGATCTTGAGAAAGAAGAAAAAAGTTGGAGATATCACAATACCGTATAGCAAACTATATTACAAAGCAACTGTCATCAAAACAGCTTGGTTCTGGAACAAGAAAAGGCATACATACCAATAGAACAAAATAGCCCAGAAATCAACCCATGGCCTTTATAAGTCAATTAATATTTGACAAAGGAGGCAAGAGCATACAATGGAGTCAAGACAGTCTCTTTAATAAATGATGTTGAAAAATTGGACAGGTAAATGCAAAAAAAAAGAAAAAAAAAGAAACTGGATCCCCAACTTACACCATAAAGAAGAATAAACTCAAAATGGGTGAAAGACTTATATGTAAGCTATGAAACCATAACCATATTAGAAGAACAATAGGCAGTAAAATCTCAGACATCTCTTGTAGCAATCTTTTTGCTACAATAAGTCTCTGAGGACAAGGAAAAGAAATAAATGAAGGAGACTACATCAAACTAAGAAGCTTCACACAGCAAATTAAATCATCAACAAAACCAAAAGAGAACCCAGTGCATGAGGGAACATATTCACCAATGATTCATCTGATAAGGGGTTAATCTCCAAAATATATAAAGAACTTGTAAAACTCAACAAAAGGAAGACAGATAATCAAATATAAAAATGGGCAAAGAACCTCTCCAAGCAGGACATACAGATGGCCGATACACATATGGAAAAATGCTCAAGGTCATTAATCATCAGAGAGATGCAAATTAAAACTACAATGAGATATCACCTCACAACTGTTCAGAATGGCAACTATCAATAAATCAACAAACAAATGCTGGCAGGGAAGTGGAGAAACTGGGACCCTAGTGTACTGTTGGTGGGAATGCAGACTGGTGCAGACACTGTGGAAAATAGTATGGTCAACACTCAACCCCTGAGCCATGCCAGTTTCCTCAAAAAATTAAAAATGGAACTCCCATTTGACCCAGCAATCCCACTTCTAAATATATATCTTAAGGATCCTCAAACACCAATCAGAAAGAATGTATGCACTCCTATGTTCATAGCAGACTTATTTACAATAGCCAAGATCTGGAAACAGCCCAAGTGCCCATCAGTAAATAAGTGAATAAAATGCTGTGGTATATTTACACAATGGAATACTACACAGCTGTTAAAAAAAAAAGGAGCTCTTACCTTTTGCATAAGTATGGATGGATCTGGAGATTATTATACTAAATGAAATAAGCCAGTCATAGAAAAACAAATACCATATGTTCTCACTAATATGTGGAACCTAATGAAGAATATAAACTGACAAACAAACTAGAAGCATAGGAATAAACTGACAAATGTCATAGGGGAAGGTGGTGGGGGGAATGGATAAAGGAAAGTGAAGAGATGAGCTGCTAAAGAACATACAGTATATGCATAGCCCATGAACACAGACAATAGTATGGTGAGGCCCAGGGACAGGGGTGAGGACTGTGTAGAGAAGGGCAAAGGTCGTGATAATAGGGGACATCTCCCAGAGTGTCAGCAATAAAAAATTTAAATTAAAAAAAATGTCATCTTAAAAATTATGAGATACCACTTCACACTCATTAAGATGACTTATCAAATGAAAGGAAAATAACAAGTGGTGACAATGTGGAGAAATTGGAACCCTGGTGCATTGCCGCTGGGAGTGAAATGATGCAACCATTGTGGAAAACAGTATGACCTTTTCTCAAAAAGTTCAATGTAGAATTACAGCAATTCCACCTCTATGAATACTAGGATACCAAAAAAATTAAAAGCAGAGACCTAAACAGATACTTACACACTAATGTTTATACTAACACTATTCATAGTAGACAAAGGATAGAAATAACCTAAATGCCCATTAATAGATGAATGGATAAATAAAATATTTATATATTATAACAGAATATTATAAAGCCTTAAAAAGAAATAAAATCCCGATCATGTTATGACATGGATGAATCTTTAAACATTATGCTAAGTAAAATAGGCCAGACAGAAAAAAAAGCAAATATTATATGATTCCATATAATACCTCATAAGAGGTATCAAATTAGGCAAAATCATACAGACAGGAAGTAGAACTTACTAGAGGCTGAGGGGCAGGGGTACATGGGTGGCTATTGTTTAATGGATGCAGTTTCTGTTTGGGGATGATGAAAAGACTCTGGAAGTAGTGTTGATGGTTGCACAGCATTTTCAACTTACTTAATGCCACTGAATTATACACTTTAAACTGTATATAACGGAAAATTTTATGTACATTTTTACCATAATTTAAAAGGTAATAAGAGATATTACCCACGATAATTTGCCAGTGCTTGTGAATGCTTAGACAAAGTGCATATTTTTCTTGAAAAATAACTTATATGCATATATGCATAGCCTATGGACACAGACAATAGTGTGGTGAAGGCCTGAGAGGGGTGGGTGCAGGATGGAGGGGGTCGATGGGGAAAAAAAAGACATTTGTACTACTTTCAACACTAAAGATAAATTTTAAAAAGTATTATTTAGTTGGGCTGACTGAAGAACAAATTAATAGCTTGAACAGT